CATGAAATGTATCGATTCACTCTATTCTACTATTTACAAATATTATTTTGTATCTCATGTTATATGGTCGTCGTTTGGCTAATTATGTGATACATGAAAGTAACTTCTCTAGAATTTCTTTCTGTTGGTTAATATGTCGTTTTTTTATTCAAAATAAGCACAAACTCAGAAACTGAAGTTATATTTTATTTAAAATAAACTTTTATTTACATAAAGTACTTTATACTTTACTCCATTACACATTTCTAGGATGCATTGAAGCTACGAAATTGTATGTGAAAGTTTTTAAAAGAAGCGAACATGCCGTATCCACAGAATGTTTTATCCATTAACGTATTCATACCTCTTTTTGCCTCTTGACTTTTCAAGTTTTTTACAATATATGTATGTATGTACCTACATCAGATTAACAATTTCAATATTAAATCCATTATTAAATCTATCATCATCAATGACAGATCAAAAGAAATAGAAGTAATATATTTGTCGTTTACGAGTAATCAGTACCTGGGCTTGTCTGAAAGAATATAAAAGTTTCATTTTTTCAGAAAAGACATTGATAAACTTAAAAAGGAAAACCTTATCTAAATACAAAATTTGATCCAAATCGTTGAAGACGGTTATAAGATACACGAGAAAAATTTGGTTTAGTTTTATATAATACTAGCATTGCCCGAGGGTCCGCCCGCGTTCACATGACCATAAAAAATTCTTAGGTTTTACATATTAGTATACTCTTACATTGCAGTTTTTGTATTTTTTCTCAGAAATGAGATATTTTCCCGCAGTAAAAAGTATCCTTTATGTTGACCCGGATAACCAGCTATCACTATGCCAAATTTCATCAAAATCTCTATAGTGGTTTTTCTGTGATGCGGTAACAGACAGAGAGACAAAAATTCTAAAAACTAAAGATTCGACCTCTGTATCGATAATAATGTTTATTTCAATAAGATTTTCCAAAAAATATTTGATGTTCGATTCTGCTTAGTCACAATTTTATTATATCTATAGAAGATTGCTAGAACTATAAATTATTATTGTATATTTAGTATTTTAATGAAATTTAAATACACATGTAGGTACAATATTTTTATAAAATTCAATTAATTTGTTAGTTACTGCTATGTTTTGTTTAACTTGACCATAAACAAATAATAACATAAGAATCAATGATTAATTATCATTTATAATTATAGGGTTATATTATTAGTAAATCGAAATAAAAGAATATAACAATAATAGAAACAAGGAAGCGAGTCGTTGGACGCTTGTTCAATTATCTAACGTGATAAATTATTGAAGCTGCTCTCTGCCATCAAAGTCAATTCCCGGAAGTAGTTTACCTGTGATTGTATCGGAGCCAGAACTACGATGCCATGTATTTTTAGTGCTATAAACATGAGTGTGAATAATTGACTTTCCTTATTATTTTAGTTGTATAAATATGACATTGGTGCTATTGATTATGCTCAAATGGCACTCTCTAAAGTTATACAATGAATGCCCGAAAAAAACATCTTTTGATTATTATTATTATTTACCAAAATAATAATTATTATTTACCAATAAGGAAAGAAATCGGCAAATTATGACAGGTTACGTAGATTATGGTTAAAGCTGACATGTAAGCAGTATTTTTGCTGATTTGCTTTTGATTTTTGATTTTCTGATCTATTAAAATATCGGGCGCAATTTCGTTCAATAAAAACACTTATGTGTTGGTAATATCGTTAATTATTTCAGACTGCTTACTTGGACGATTATAATATTACTAGTGAAATAAAATACGAGTAAAAAACAAAAAAAAAAAAAGTATCCTATGTGCTATTCCAGACTATAATCTATCTCTGTGACAAATTTTATCCAAATCCGTTCAGCCGTACTGGCCAAACATCAATCTAAACTTTCAAATTCATAATATTAGTAAGATGTACATTGTGGATCAAAGTCTGAAGGTCCCAGTAAACTAGTACCTACCTACCATATCAGACTACTATTATAAATGTGAAAGTGTGTTTGTTTGTTTATCCTTCTTTCAAGTCGAAACGAAGTTAGAGGGCTGGAGAGTGACATAGGCTACTTTTTACCGCGGGAGATTATCTCATTTCCACAGGAAAACACATTATAATACAACCAAAAAATTATTTATTATCAGAATTACTAGAAACTTGGTATTAATTCTCTTCAATACAAGTATTTTTCGAAAATCATCCCATACGCAATTGGGTAAAATATTGGATAAAAGTTTGTATGAAACCTACCTTTTTAGAGTTTTTTTATAGTTTTAGCGTGAGCGAAATCGCGAGTTCTACTAGTATAATAATGATAAACTAAGTGCTACGTGATTGATCTTTTTAAAAGTCATAAAATCGCTAAGCGATATTAAAACGAAATAAATATAAGTAACACTTTCAAAATATTACATTCAAATAAAATATCTTAACCAAACTTTGCTATTCTCTTAAAAGATTTCTTACATTCGTTGTAATAAAATATTCGTAGAGTATCCCAGAATTTTCGGGTAAAGAATTACACGAAGTAATCCAAGCAATGTTCTCGCAGTACCCGTTATTTAGGCTTTGTTTAAAAATTAACTCGTACGTTTATGTTTTCCCATTCGAAATAGAAAGGGGTCGGTTGATTACTGAAGAGAATAGTATTTTATTTATTTAAGTTGGATACGGGATCAGAAGAACGTATAGAAAGAATCAATACATAGAAAAAACAATTACAACTTAATATATTATAAACAAGTTTTTATAAGCTTTTGTTTTCCTAACTGTGTAATTAAATGTTGGCAGTCGATTTTAACCTACTACTAAATATGGTGTCAATTTGAAACTTTATTACTTATGTATGTACTACTAAAAAGCACAAAGACATCTATCACACGGGAACCATTCATTTTTCCGGGATAGTAAGTAATTTGATGTTTGACCGGGGATATGAGGTACCACCACGCAAAATTTCATTTAAATCGGTCCAACAGTTTCAGAGATTAGCCCGTACAAACAGACAAAATGACAAAAAAAATCTGGATTTGTTCTATTTCTCTTCTTACCCTGGCTCGGTTTTTAGCATATTTTTCTATGTCATTCGATCTCTACAGTTTTATTACATTTATAGATATCCGGACAACAATACTATAAAGTATAAATTGATACCAGTGAGCTAAATGATGATGTGACAAGGAAGTTTTTGAAGTTATACTTCTTTTGACGCGCTATGCAAAAAAATGATGACAGTTTTTTTACGATGCCACAGATTTAGACTGCAGTACGAAGTTAATAGTTATTGGCTGCAGTGTAAAGTTAGTAATTAAATCTCCCTTTAGTATATAGTTTGTTGTCCATATGTCATGTCAAGATATTTATTTAGATATTTCTATATACACAACACGTGTTTTATACCGATAAAAAGATTACAAGCTTTTAATTGGTTTCACATGTCCCGGTGTCTGTCTGTAATCTAATCTTGCAAGTTAAATTAGATCCATTTCCCAGTGTCCAATTGAGCTGAAATTTGGCACACACGTTTAATTCTCGTAATTGCACGATTACCTAAATGCCGCAATATTTAATCCAATATGGCGAACGTTACAAAATGACGATTTATCATTTCCATAATATAAGTAGTGGTAGTTTCCCTTATGATATGGATATCAAATGAAAGGGTTTGATGAGTGAAACACAATAAGCAGTGACTTCATTGTAAATCCAATATGGCGGACAATGTTTTCTTTATACATCTCCATGATATGGATATCAACTGAAAGGGTTTGCTTAGAAGAATACGATCTTGGAAATCTTACATACGTACATAGGTACTCACACACTTTTTAATTATTATTTTTTATATTATGAGTAGGTACGTTTTGCTTGTACGTTTTGCTTCCATTTAATGTCATCGTAACCACTTCGCCTGTCGTTATTCTCGCTTCGTTTACTTACATACAGATTTCCATTTTGGTTGACGATTATTGTAACTGCTCCGCAGTTTTGTTTATTGCGTGATGCTATGTAGCTTATAATATTCCTCAATAACCTTGCTATGTAACGCAAAACGTATATTTCAAATTATGCTGATCTTTCGTAAGATTAGCACATTCAAATACAACATTCAATTACTACTGGTCGGTTTGGATCAACTGGTAAATATAAAATATATATGCTATTTCTTAAAGCTTATTACATATGTAACAATTACAATGTGTACTTGAACTATTATTGTTAGTGTTCGATGTCCTTGAGCAATACAGACCGCGTGTGGTATATATATTTAGAGCGTGATGAAACAACGTATAATATACAAAACGCTAAACCAAAGTTGTTTATTGTAAAACCAACATAGTTAACGTTTTATACCTATAAATATGATTTATACATCATAAAATATCTTCTTCTTCTCCCTGCCCATTTCCCAAATACATCATAAAATATGGTTTTTGATAAATCGCACAATTTAAATATAATGTTAATAGATTTATTTTATTATTTTTCAACCGTTACTAAAAAGGTTCATCGACTTCGAAATTATTTCCCCCCTAAAGGTTTTTTTTTTGAAATTGATATAACTATTAACTACCCTTGAGGTACAACTTATTTATAAAAAAAATATGAAATTCATATTTGGCGAAGATATCAAGTAATTTGCACACACTAAACTTCAAAAAACAGGCGAATTGAGTACCTCCTGATTTTTGAAGTCGTTGAAAAATCAGTAAAGCTAAATAATAATAAATCTAGTGCAGGATAATTTCTGCTTAATTTAGAATAATCCTAATAAAAATTAAACTTAGACCGAAAGGGAAAATTAACAAGTAATTCGATAGTGTATAATTTTATTAAGTGACCCTTATAATAAAATTAGTCGCTGTTAGCTTGGCAGCTTTACAAGTTTGCAACGTAGATCTAAACAGGTGCTGTATGTTCACGGTATCAGTATTTTATGTTTGTTACACAGCATTTTTTAAATAAAATAACTTTAAAATTTCGCAGACTATACCAAGTGCGCGTGGGTTTACGCGTGTCACCCAAGGTGCCGGTTCACATCGAGGCGACGGTATCGAGCGGCAATGGCGCTGCTCGGACCGGCAGGCCCGCCGCTAACGCTTCCCTCATCGGAGGCCTCGCTGCTTCTAGAGCCTTCCAAATTATGTACAGAAATGAGGAGGTCACACTGCGAGACATTGTGCACTTCAGAGCACATCTACTAGGTGTGTAGAAATTTTTTTCTACTTTATAAAGCAAAAGATTATTTAAATTACAACATTTATCAAGAATCACAATAACTTTCATCTAGGTTAACTATCTAGGCTACAGTTTTGGCAATTTTAATTCGACCATAATTGACGATAGATGGCGCTTACCGAAAGCCGTCAAATTCTATGTTTTAAGCAAGTGTGCGTTTCACAATAAATCAATTAACAAAATAAGTTTTGGTGACTATGACAATTTTGTGAACAGGATAAATAAACTACATTAAATGCCATTAACGTATACGAGCTTCATTATTGTGATCTAGGTATACAATCAACAGTTAAATTGTAAATTTGATTTATAAAGTCATTATTACATTTGTCTTTGCGGGATTTTCTTGATAATTTTAAGATACATATACTCGTACTTACTTAGAAATAGGATATAATTTAAAGGTTTGTTCTAGATAAATATCAATGAAAAATCTCTATTATTGACACTTATTTAATTAATTTTTCGAGATTATTCATGGGCCAATCAGGCGGACGGCAAAATACCTATGTGTGCATCCATTTTGATATTAATTCCTTTTAGAGGGCAACGCCTATTATATATAATATTTCAGTATATTTGCATAAAGTAATTTGCTTCTAAATATTTACCATATTATGTTATAACAAAGGGAGAGTTGGGTTTATTTATCCTTTCATTTAATCCTTAGGTATATTGTTTTTTGTTATGGTTAAGTTGTAATAATAATATAGAGTTGTGGTTACTACAAAAACGATCCATGTTACTGTTAGCCATTTACACCACCCTATGAGATAACCACTACAAAAACATGTTACGTGCTAGAGTACAATGTATTTTCCAAAATGAGAGATAAACCAGGACGACTTATAGCGTCGTTGGGAGTCTGCCAAGAAGTTGACCTAATATGCAGTAAACGTCCTAATTCTAAGTAGAAAAAAAATCTCAATAGTAGGGACTTTTTATTTCTCAGTAGGGAATATAAAGTGCTTTTTAGTAAAAGAGAGGTTTGATTCCATTTTAAATTTGATCTTTGTTTTATATAAAAAATGCCATTAGGTTTTCTCATATAATGCATTTCATATTTCCCAGTTGATAGCCGTAACCTTAAAGAGTCTCTAGAGAGGGCAGAATGGAGCCTGGGCATAGAGCTGTGGTGCAGCGAAGGTGCTCAATCGAGCACTCTCTCACCAGTATCCTGCCGCGTGTTGAAGCTACACTTTCAGCCATCACAAGGGCTCCACTACCACCTGCCCGTGCTATTTGACTACTTCCATCTGTCTGCAGTCTCCGTCACCATCCACGCCAGCTTAGTCGCTTTACATCAGCCCTATATCAAGTAGGTTACACAAGATTTTGTATAATAACTACTTTACAAATATCTATATTTCTATTCTATTCTGCAGTATTGTTTTGACATATTTGAACATAGAAAATTTGGTAAAGTAATAAGAAAAAATACGCGGTAAATTTAAATGTAAATTACGGGAAAACGTGTATTCATAGTGTTACGAGTTGGCGCGTGCTACAAGAGTCTCATATTGCAGTGGAGGACAATGCAAAGTGGATTTCTACTACAATAACTTCCCTGCCTTGAAGTATTCTTTTGACATACATATATTTTTGTAACCTTTGACGTATACTCTTCTCAAATAAAACAAAATTCATTTGTTACATGTCTTTATTTAGGAAGAGCATTATGCATTACGTACAAAGCTGGTAAGTAGTAGACTATAGAGTTTACGCACTTCGTTCGAGCTATGAAATGCACCAGTTTTTTACTACAAGTTACAAATTTGAATATTTTTATTATTAAGAAATTGCATCTTGTTTTCTTAATTTAAAATACTTCAATATTTTCACTTCTCTGTAGTCAATAAAATAGCCATAGAGTAGGTAAATAAATATCCATGAGAATGCTAGCAATTCAAAAGTACATATATACATACATTTAGATAATCGATAGATAAAATGTAGGTATATCATATTATCATTTCAATTCTTATTAGTAAAAGTACAATAACTAAGACATTGCATGTCGCGTATAGAGAAGTTTTTTAATAATTCGATAAGTAATAGGAATTACGTAGAATAAATGATCGAAACCAAAAAAGACCAAATCTTCAGACGACTACTACTTGTGTAACAGAATAAGAGGTCCAAAATATTTTTAATCAAACAGCTGGTCTTAATATGAGAACGAAATATTGTTTTGCTTGCAGTACGCCCCGCTCTAGCAAACAGTGGGGCAAATTGATGAAAAGTGCAGGGTCAAACTTTAACGCTTCAGGAAGCTTAGAGAACATTCTCTTTGGGTCGAGCGGGAAATGTGCCGGTGGAAACTCGAGCAAAATAGCGCATGCCAGGTATTGTTGTGATGAATAATATTACTAGTTAATTTAATAATTTAATTATAAAAAAAACGTGGATGTGATTTGCTTGTTTAATGTTAACAGTAATAGAAGTTCTCAAAAAGGACGACTTTTTCCGATTCAATTGACAAATATCTTCCTAGGCAATTCCTTCTTTTTATTGGTCAAAACCGTTGAAAAATACCTACTGCTTGTATGTTTCTGAGCTCGATTAGCTTAAACAAATATAAACTCGCGCAGCGAGGTATTTTATTTTATAATATGTAATGAATGACTAGTGTAAATGTAAGTGGTAATTTTCTCACGAGTGACTCTAATTATCATTTTTATTCAATTTTTTTTTCATTTCATATGGTTAAATGAATTTTACAGGCAAGTACACGCAGAAGTTTGTGGAATTCTACTTGGATCATTAGAAGGGTTGCAGAGCGCACTAACAGTTTGCGGATCAACTGGAGTGTTACTTACTCCAGAAGAATCGTCTTCTAATTCTATCGTTGGTGAAGTTGCACAGCGAATAAAAGATTTAAGTGATCTAGGAAAGGCAAGTTGTAATGCCATTTTTAATTAAACTTTGATATTTTATTAGTGTTAAGTTATATGTTCTCTAACATTAGTATAATTTCGTACAGAAATCAGAAGCAGGCGAGGAAGAAGAATGGGCAATGGGAGCAGCTCACGACATAGCGAGACTATGTGCAGAAGTAACGCTTCGGTGGCGCGCATTTTTGCATCACACTTCAGATCGCCCACATGTGCATCATGCTCTAGCTGCGAGACATCATGCTTTGCGGTTTGTAATTTCACATTAAATTGATCTTTTTAAAGCTGCAATCTTCGTAGTTTGAGAAGCCTCAAGCTTAGAACCTGTCTACAATATATTTGCTCGATTTCTTCTATGAGTGACAAAATACATACCAAAGACTATCTTCTTTTGTCTGTAGATTTCTATAACTCACTACTTTTTGTTGAATTATCGTAACGCTGTCTGTAGTGAGTGCTTCGTCAGGTTAAAATTGAGGGTCCAAGAAACTGCTTACACCTCACACTCTCTCCCTCTCTCGCTCTCTATCTCTCTCTTTCTCTCGCTCTCTCTCAGTCCTGTGCAGTCCTTTGTATTCTTAATAGTGGATGGATAAAACAAGAGTTACAATAATATGTACATATGTGATATCAAAATAATACTTTTATATATTATGTGTATGTATATACCAATTTCCCTGAATTCAGCTAGACGAATTTTAATGCAGCTTTTTTTATTAATGGTTAATCATTGATTAAATTAAATTTCAATTGAAAAGAAAAATAGGAATATAGCTGTTTACAGGTAGGCGATAAATTCTGAACAAAAAAAATCGCTAGCATTATCTTCTGGCAGAAGCTCGTACTATATAGTACACTCGTATTCGTGTTATATAATTTAACAAATATATGTGGATACAATTAAAAAAGAATATAATGTACTTTTCAGAATTAAGCGTTTTTCCGAATGCTTTTTCGTGCTGGATAATCCAAGACATTCACTGGCTGGTTGCTACGATAGTAATTATCAGTCATACCAAAGTGTTGGAGAAGCAGCTAGACGCTCGCGTTATCTTGCATTACTACCGCCTCTACCCGTACATTGCATCGCGCTTGATGGTGATCCGCACATTATGCCTATCATATTTGAAGACAGGTAAAGATTATTTAGAAGATTACAAGGTTATTAAATAAATTAAAAGTATTTTTTTTACATTATTGAAGAGGATATTCTTTTTGCAGATATCAAGACACAGCTGAATTTGCGAGGAGACGTTCATTTTTGAATTCAAGTACAAACAAAGCCGGAAGTGGTGAGTATTATCTTTAAGAATGATCTTATATTAAAAAAATATAATTATATGAAACCATTTAAATTTTATTACAGATCCATTTTTATGTTCAGAACCCACTGGAGAAGATTGTGCTTGTAGTGTCGCTTCAATGATGGATTCTAGAAGACCGTCGTCTGAGGCATCGAGGGTAACTCTTACGTTGCCTAAAGCAATGATAGACGTTCTTGAACCTCAATTTAGCACTCCTAAATCGAGTGCAGGCGTAGTTCAAGCAACATTAACTCTTGCACCACAAAAGTCTGCCCGGGGGTCTCCTAAACGCACACTAGTTAAACAAAGTGTTGTAGAAATGAATAAGCCTCATAATAAGCAATTAGAGCTGACAGGAAGAAATCGATATATTGTCCAAAATAATCAGATTAGTGAAATTCAACTACCACCCAATAATGTATTTTCATCGTGTCCTATTCAACAAGGTCAACAATTGTCTAGATACTCAGCTTCAACATTACTGGACATAAACGCTGCAAAGAGTACTATAAATATATCCCAATTAGGAAAAGACAAATGTAATGCTGATCAAGTACTTAACCAAAAGCATGAAATAACAAGCGGAGTCAGCACTTTACCGGCTAGACATAGTAAATCCTTAGACCAACTGAGGGTTTCCCAAGTGACGCCATTAAGTATCCAAACCTTGTCGAAAACTGTCAAAAATAGTTCAAATACCTCAGTAAATGGTCAAAAAACATATACTTCCGCTCAACAACTCAAACCTACAACTCTTCCTCGGAGTGTTACTACTACAGCTTATCCTACTAGTACTACAGCACGTGGATCCAAAGGTGAAGATTATAGAAGAAATATAAATGAATTCAGAGAAAAATATAAAAATCCTTGTAATTCCAACACTCATGGAATGAATAATGAAGTATTTCATAATGTAGGCTATAAGTATGATGGTACAATTAAAGGAAATGTAAACCAAATTTATGGTTACGCTTTCGGTAATCAGGGTAATATACCAGCGAATAGCATTATTCGCAATCCATTAGAATTTCAAAGAGGCTATAGTGTAAATTTACCCCGTCCTATGTTGCCTCCTCGTAATTCTTATCCACCAGTAAGTGGTAAAAATCAAGTGACTGAACAAAGTAACTTAGTTTCTAATAAACATGTTCATAGATCCAATTCTACACACGTATTTCAACAAAATATTGATAATCAGCAGATGGATATCGAAGCCGCTCGTAATCAATTAAGACACGAATTAAACTATTATCTTCAAAAAGGTGACTGGAGTTATGATTTTAATACAGGAAGCTTAATACAAAATTATCAAAAGAAATCTAGTAAAAGTAGTGACGACAGTGGATTTGTAATGACGTTAGACAGAAGTAGTGATGGAACATCTAAGTCAACATATTCAAAAACACCTCCTTCGACGCCACATTCTACTCTACCATCAGTCAGGCATAAGAAAAGCCGATCTAAAGAATCTAAGCTAAACACTAATGGAAAAGAAGCCATTAAAATGAATTCAAGTCGAGACTCGTTAAGTAGTCACCATTCCATTAAATCTAGGGATAGTAAGTCTGATAGGCATACACCGAAATCTGATAGAAGTACGCCGAAATCTGGTAGAGGAACTCCAAAGTCAGGAAAAGGCACGCCAAAGTCTGGTGGAGTTACTCCAAGATCTGGTTTGGCTACTCCTAAATCTGGAGGAACCACTCCAAAAAGTGGAAGGTCTAGTGGTAAACCGGAAAAGCGTACAAAACATAAAGCATCAGAAAAAATGACCCAGCTTATGTCAGAAGCGGCTTCTTCTTCCAGCGACGAAAGTATACCTTTTGAATTAAAAAGGTTAGAATCATCAACAAGCGTACCATACAGCTTAGAACATGGTTCAGAGTTAAGACATTGTAGAAGTGCTGCATCTATTATTGAAGAACCAAATTTGAACAGCGCCTTTGGTTCAGAATCTTTGCCTAACTTAGCCCCACCACCTGCATTTGAATCTCCTCCTTTAGATATAGGCGATAAAGATTTCAAAATCATGCCACCTGACAACTTTCTCAATAAAGAGGAAAAACGCAGCAGAAGTTCAACGTCAAGTTTAAGTGAACAGAGTGGATGGGTTTCAAGTGGGCGAAGTTCGGGGCCTTCATCTCCCGATAATGGCAGTTGCCAATTAAATCCTAATTACTCTGCTCCTAGTACTAGTGCCGTTTCTAAAATTCCTAGTAAAAAATATGACGAAAATGTTGAATCACGAAAAAGAGACGGCGATAAGATAAGCGAGTTCAAAAGAACTGCTCTTAACGGTGAACAGCTTCGAGAACGTTTACTTAAGTTAGCCGTAAAAGCTGCTCAAAGTAGCTCAACTGAAAAAATTGAATGTTGCGATAAAGAAGTTTGTGAAGAATGTACAATTTGTAGCGATTCTATTTGTACGGACAGCCAGTGTGAGTATAACAAAATTATGCACAATAATGGAATTGACACAGGTTGTAATTCAGATACTTGCACGGCAAGTTGCTTCCAGCAATATACAGACTCAAATGTAGGCAAAGTGAATCAAAGGCATAATTCATTTAGTGCCATTCAAGGAAAATCCTATAGCTCCGTAAACAAAACTTCAAATGAAATTACTGTTAAAAAATCTCAGACAGTTAGCGATAATTTACATCCATATATTCGTAAGGAAATAACTCCTAAGCCACCTCAACAATCTCTTCCAGCAAAATCTAATACAATAATTAAAACTAAATTAAGAGATAGGATAGAATATACGGAGAAGCTAATAGCTGCAGAAATCCGTAGTCTAACGGTGGATCGATCATGTAAAAGTCACAAAACATCGGGCGGACCAGCTGCATCTGCACAAAAATACCAAGGGAAAGCGAAATCCGAAATAGATTTGAGTCACTTTGGTGGTGATAACGATTATGAGCATTTGCCGCCACCTCAACAATTTAGGGATGCTCCACCTCCACCTGATGAATTTAAGGTATATTATAATCATACTATTTAAAATAATAATTAAAGTTCCATATAAAGATAACCATATGGCTTCACTTTTAAGGATCCCCCTTCAAAGTCACCGCATCTGAGCAGACAAAGTAGTAAGTCATCTACGCCATCCAAAAGTAGACAATTGACGCAATCCACTACACTTCAACTAGACAATCCTCTTTATCACGTTTGCGAAGGTCTGTATTTTTATTGATATACATTTTGCCTAACTAATGCTTATGCTCACAGAATACTAACCCATTAATATTGGTCCAGGAATATTAGAAAGGCGAAAATTAAGACCTCATCAGTCCATGAATACTAATTCTTCAGCATCTGCCAGTACACTAAATAAAAGCCAAAGTACTGGAGAATTAGCTACCAGGAACGAAAATGGTAATAAAGGTAGGTCGCTGGCCTGCTACGTTAAAGAAACTTAAAGTTTAACAAATTAAATTTGACTCATAATCTTCTTTTCTAGAACAACGACACAGCAATCTCATAAGCATATTTGGTTTAGCAGAATCAGAAAGATTATTTGTAAAATGCAGGGAAGAGTTCAGACAGAGCGTCAAGTATCCAGGAGCAATATATTCTGACTTTCCTCCTGTTGAAAACTCTTTGCCCTATTTCCATATAAGCGACGAATATAGAATGTTCAATCCAGAAGGTGGGTATCAATAGTGATTTAATAGAACGTAATCTGCATTAAATATACATTTTATAAATAGCATTTATATCAAATATACATTTTACATTTGATAGAAGAACGTTCATAATATAACTTTTATTAAATACATTGCTAAATTAAAGAAATACATAGTCTGACCCTAAAGATTTTACTTTTATAAATACTTCTTACGTTTAAAAGATGTACTTAACGTTTAAATTTGATTTTACTTAAAAATTTGCAACAATTTTATCTTTTTAGGATTACACCTCATCATATGCGTTCATGGCTTAGATGGTAACGCAGCAGATTTGCGATTAGTCAAAACGTACCTAGAGTTAGGTTTACCCGGAGCACGACTAGACTTCCTGATGTCTGAAAGGAATCAAGGAGATACATTTTCCGACTTCGATACCATGACTGATAGGTTTGTATAAACTTTAGTATGATATTGTCATAGATTTTAAATCTATAAGTAAAAAAGTTTTATATCTTTAAATATTATAATTTTCCAGGTTGGTCCAAGAAATTATGACGCACATACAGAATTCAAGCGAACCGGCTAGAATTAGCTTTGTAGGACATTCCTTGGGCACTATTATAATTAGGTCTGCTTTAGCTAGACCTCAAATGAAACCATTTTTAGGAAAATTGCACACGTTTTTATCTCTAAGTGGGCCGCATTTAGGGACGCTTTATAACTCCAGCGGTCTCGTAAATGCAGGTAAGCATAAAAGATTACAAATATTTTATATTTTAATGAAAACGTAATTGTTTCAGATATGTAAAATGCTTTAATATAAACATTCTCAAAAATTAAAGAGGAACACTAAAAACGCAATTTTAAATAGATTTGTCTTGCACAGATATATTTCTAGATTGGATATTAATAGACTTACACATTTGCTACTTCGATGTAGCGGCTGTCACGAATAACTAAAAGCATTCGAAATATCAGACTTAGGAACACTTTAAATCAAATATAATACTAGCGCAAAATAGCATCGGTTTTAATAATCACTCAATCATTATTATTATTATGTTATAATAGAGAAAATGCAAGCATGTAATTCTTACTTACAGGAATGTGGTTCATGCAGAAATGGAAAAAATCCGGTTCCTTGCTCCAGCTCTCTCTTCGCGATGCTTCCGATCCTCGAAGATCTTTTCTTTATCGCTTAAGTGAACGAAGCCAGCTCCATCAGTTCAAGCATATCCTGCTTTGTGGCTCAGGCCAAGACAGATATGTCCCTTTACATTCTGCAAGATTAGAACTTTGCAAAGCTGCCGCAAAGGATACATCATTATTAGGACAAGCTTATAGAGAAATGGTATATTATTAAATTTCACTTTTCCTGTTATAATAGTTATATAATACTTTTTAACACGATGCCCAAATTGCAAGCAAAAATTAAATAAAATAATATAGGTACTTGTTCATTGAAACTGTTCAAGCATCAATACCGGATTGATATTGGAAATTCTATTTCATAAATTCATTTAGTGGTAAATCCGCGGTAATTATTCGAAGAACTAAAATGAAAAGTAACCTTAATCCATATCCAGAACTACTCGCGTACCAATAGCATGATCAATAAAGGTGCAAAACATCAAGGTGCAAGAAAATACAAAATTCTAAAGAAGTTTCACTTCAAAAACAACCAAACAAGTTTTTGCAATTTCAGTTAAGTGCAATGACGTTAAATTTCGATTAACAAAATAATATAATATTGTATTTATTTCAGGTACACAATATGGTATCACCTCTAGCAGCTCGGGCTTCGTCTGTGTCAGTCGTACGTTACGACGTCCAACATGCTCTCCCCCACACAGCCAGCGCGTTGGTTGGCCGCGCAGCACACATTGCAGCTTTAGACTCCGACCTGTTCATTGAAAAGTTTCTGCTAGTCTCAGCACTTAAATATTTTCGATAGAAACAATTTAAGTACAAACAACATGTATCCGTACTAAAGAGCGTACAAAATGTGCATTGGTGGACCGTGCAATACATTACGCGGTTTAAACTTTAACTTTTCCATTAATTAGTTCCTCATGGTCTCGGCTATTCAATAATATGTTTAATGAATAATAATTTAGGTTCGAAATGGTTTGTACTTGTACAGATTAGATCAAAACTTGATTGCTGTGTGATGTCCAGTGCCCTCACTTGCCTTATGCCTTCATAGAAGATGCTCTGTAGTTATATTAACAATTCAGGAATATCGTTCCGATACGAATTGATATTATCGATGGTTGAATCATCATAGTTTGTATTATTTTTCCCCTTTTGACACCGAAATAGATTCGGATCCATCCTTTTTCTTTTTAATAATATTTACTCCAAAAGACTTCGGTTTCTTACTGAAACTCGCAGAAAAGTGTGATTGTATTATATTTTTTTGTAAAATAGATAAACTATATTGGAAATATGTGATTAAAGAAATAAGATTTAAATAAAAAGTAAAAATTTAGATTTTCATTAAATGGATTGCTATTACCTAGTCAAAACAAATTATATCAACAACATAGCTTTCGCATTTCACTGGCATTTATTTGTAAGAAAAATATAATATACCTACTTACACGACTTAATCAAAATTCAGCACACTATCAGGTCATTGCTCGTTTTTCTCACGTAATATATCGGAAGTATTCACATTAATATAAAAATGCACATTAACTTCTTTGATCTATCTACATATTATATTTAAATAATATCAACAATGAGTGCGATAACTTGAATTGATCTCCACTAATGAAAGACGCTTATGTATGGTTAATTTTACTTGATAATGGTGTGATATAAGTGAAACAGTACATGTACTAGACTATACAGATATAAAACACAATTTAATTATTACTAGGATAAGACGGATCTTTACACCAAATTATTAAGACTTTCGAATTAGCGAGTGTAGAATATGTAGATGTTATTCGTATTAGTAATTTATTAATTGTTGTATATGATCACTGATAAAAACATGCGAATGTTATGTGTGCTTCTGGAATGCTAAGCCCATAGGTTTTCATATTTTTGCTGTTTCTAATCCGTGCTGATTAAATGAAAAATCATATTTTTCAGTGTTAATGAAACTTAACTAAATGCGGATTATACTTTAAGAATATTTGAAAATTGTTTTGTTGAATAGTATCTACTGATAATTCAGAACGATCGATTGTTTTAAAGAAAAATGTTTGATATATAATTAAGGCTGCGCCATTTAATTTTAATAGGTAATAATAATTGAAATATTTTGTTGCAATATCATATGGTTTTCACAATACCAATTTGAACAAAGCAGATCATTCGATAATATGTCATATAGAAACCTACATATTATGTATATTATGTATAACAAAGAGATACTTATAAAGCAAAAAATAACATTTATATTTATACAATTTTGTCTACGAAATGTATACTTTTTTTAATAATAACCATTTTATGTAGTTTTGTATTAACAGCCACACAAAAATGCGGTGTATTCTAAGACGGCAAATTACTCTGAAGTCGTTATTTAGCTAGCGCAAGTGGACATTGAGTTTGATAAGTGTGGTTTAAGTTTTAACTACGAAGTTTTTTGGATTTTTATGCACTTTTATAAATTAATTTTCTGAAATATTAAGATACTTTTGGATATTAATTAAGTGAATGATCAGACAGGGCCTTATTACAATATAAGGACAGGCCATAGCCTTAAATCACTAAATAAATATTAGATTAAAAGTTGTAAATTATCGAATGTTAGACTGATCTTTAAAAATATACGGTATTAATAAGTTTAATAGATTCATTTATAGTCATGATTTGATAAAACTGTTATTAATGTCTTGCTCTGTCCACTTTTCTCTAAATTAATCTGTAGGAAACATTTTATACAGGGGCTTAGAAATTCTAGTCTTGATTTTAACTTTGTTTTAATAGTATAAGAGCAACATGGTCAAAACTAAAAATACGTTTAGTTGTTAATTTGTATTATTATACATCTTCATCAACATTTATTTTTTATTTTTGATAATGTTGTTGTTGTACAAAATAATAGTACCTATAAAATTATAGAGTAATACCTCAATTGGTTGCTCATGGGCATTGCTTTTAAAACTAAAATAATCTAATATAGTAGATGTATTAAAACGAAAATGAACAGTGTAAATAGCAGACAAAATTTTATTTGTAAAAAACATTCGTATGTTAAATGGATATGTGTCGATGTTATACACTTATGATAAAATAAATAATGCCCGAAAACTAAAAACAACGCTTTCTATAATTGTAACACCAACAAAACCCAATTACTCCTTTTCCTAAGATACACAAACTTTATATAAAAATACTATGCATATATGATCAAAAACGTTAAAAAACCATGTAAAAAGAAACATAATACACTTTTCTATATATTTTTTTCTTTTACACGTTTTTTTAATTTTAAATGCTTTCATAATATCATGTCCAAATTCTACGAAGTTTAAGTAGATTTATACGAGTATTATTCTAAAAAGTACAAAAGTTTGACAAACTTTTTCTCCTTATTATGTAACTGAATACCGACGTACGGTGTGAATGGTACTATAAAAATTTAAAAATAGAAAAACCGACTTCAAGGCACTAAAAAGTAAAAAATAACTAAACGAGGGTTTTCGTTTAGAATAGATACCTAATCAGATATTTTCGAAGTCGGTGTGGTTTGATTTGTATTGGCTGGATTTTTTTTTTAACTTTTATTTTTCCATTTTTAGTGTAGACGTAATGGTAATTTGTAAGAAGAAACTTTTTAATAACATATTCCATTAACGCATTTATTTAGAAATAATTTATTGTTGATCTTTTAAAAAACAGCTCCAATGATTTCGATAAAATTTAAATGGGACCCCCTGGGAAGTATATAACCTTTGAAACAAAAAAGAATTTTCCAAATCGGATCAGCCATCTTCGAGTAATCGGTGAACATACATAAAAAATCCGAGGAATTGAGAACCTTCTCCTTTTTGGAGGTCGGTTAAAAATGAGCCAAAACACCCACTCTATATCCCCTTCCTCTTTCTTCGTTACCTTTGTCTCAGGTAGTGACGTGCGATCCTTACATTTAATGAAAGTAGTATAATATGTATATACATCCGGTTAGGTATTGCTTACTATCAACTAAATAATGCCTTTGTTAGCCTATTTACATGTTAACCTTAAGACCAAGCAACTCTACAAAGCTTAATGTATGAGCACGAGTTATTCTAGCCATTTTATAAGTGCGTCATTGAAATATTTATTAATCTACTAAAATAAAATTGATAAAAAAAGATCAAAGTATAAAAGCCCATAGCCAATAAGTGGTTAACGCCTTTTCATTGCGGACTGTTTCGAAGATACAATGCTGTAGTGCCATCTTGTGGTAGTTTATATGTACCTGTCAACCCTAAAGCCGTCTTCCAACTGTCATAAAAGAGTGTTCTCCTACAGTCCTCGCGCCTTAACCTCAGCTTTGCATTTATGCGAGTGCACACATATAGTGTACGGAGAAGTATATTTGTGTGGAGGTAGTTGGGAGGCTGGAGAGAGACATGGCTACTTTTTATCGCAGGAGGTTAACGCGGGAAAACCGAAAACACATTATAAATTATAACACAACGCAAAAAACAAAATTTTTCGAAATTCATCCCATAAGGGGGGAAAATAGTGGATAAAGATTTGTATGAAACCTACCTTTTTAGTTTTTTCTTGTAGTTTTAGCGCGAGTGAAGCCGCGGGTTCTGCTAGTTATAATATAAAAGAAGAAAAAGATTATATACTAAGGACATAACAATTTCATTGGTTTTATATATTATCAACTAGTGGCTTACCCTCGCTTCGCTCGCTGTGTCTCTGTGTACGTTTTAAATAGATATGAATAGTTATTGTTAGTGTATCTCTATCTACCTTAGGAGAAAGACTTGTACTATTGCAGATTGGTCTGTAGGCCTTATTTAGGCCTACAATTTTAATATTATATAATAATTCTAGTACATTGTTTTGATGTATCTCATAAGGTTTAGCCAGCGTTAGAAAAGTTTTCTAAGAACGACTCCTCAAAGGAACCAGTTATTATGTTTTCCCGTGGGAATGAAAGATTTTTCTGTAGTAAAAAGTATCCTAAACGTTGACCCGAGTTGTAAGTTATCACTACCTTCACAAAATTTAGTTAAAATCGATTCAGTACTTTTTGCGTAAAATGCGCATATTGATTTCGCTAAGTTACTGTTTGATTATATCTATAGATTAATTATTATATAGTAGTCTAACATTCTACCCGTACGGTATCAACTTTATACTTATATAATTACTAATCTGTGTTAAACACGTAGAAAAAAAAACATGAAAGACTGTTACCACCTATTTCATTATTATAGTTAATTTAGTGAAAGTATATGAATCAACAGAAATTATTCATTTTATTTATTTAATTACGTATATTTTTCATATTGAGTCAGTACAAAATAATATTGTTATTATTTCAATAATTATTGCTAGCAACATTATTGTGGGTGTGTGGTCTTCATATTTCATGCGGTTCGTACTTCGCTGTTCCTATCTGACTTGTCAATGTCAATTCACTATTCAGTTGGTGGGGTAATATCCGTAGTGAGCGCTTGTAGTTTATAGAATTCATTAAAGTAATTTTAATAACAATAAAATTAAAATGAATTAAATTGTGATCGTGTAAAGTAACTTACAAAACACTTTAAGGATTTAATATATATAAAAAAGTAGCTTACTTATACATAAATACACATTATTGGGCAATGCAGTCGATGCTATCCAGGAGATATTTGTATTAAATTTATTAATATCGTGGTGTAAATAATTCAAAATGGGGAAATTGCTGAGTCTTTTAGCACGGGATGATTCGAATTGTTGTTCTTCGCCACGTTACGATATTTTCTTAGATTTTGAAAATGCTGCGCCTACTGATACAGAGCGCGATGTTTTTGAAGAAGTACAAAGAGTACTTTTAGAATCAGATAAAATCTTGGAGGAAATACAGTGTTACAAAGGGGCTGGAAAAGAAATTCGGGAAGCTATCGCAGATCCTTCGACAATAACGCAAGAGAGGGCTTGGCGCGCCGTTAAACCATTGGTGGACAAATTGCTTAGGTTTTATAACCACTCCTTGGAATTGAAACGCGTAAGTGACTATTGTTGACAATTTTATTATATGTCATATCATTGTTTTTGTATTAGAAATACCCACATAAATAATAATTACAATTTTCCTTATTTTGTATTATTCAAATATTTTATATAATATCTATTTATATAGATATGTAGTATAGAGCAAAAGGAAGTATTGCTTTATCAGTAGTGATTAATGAAGTTACAAAAAGATAACACTTTCACAAGATATAGGAGCTATCATGTTTACAAAGTAATGTCAACTTCCTGAACTTGTTCTAGTAAATTTTATAGTTATAAAAATTTAAAATAACTCTTCTTTTTTGTCATTTAATAGAAATGCATACTTTAAAGACCTACAGGCATTACTAAGATAAGATTAACCAAAAAAATGTTTTTCACACCTTTATTATAAAATGTAAAAGATTCTCTTTAGAAATATTCCTGAATTTATTTATAACATGCACATATTTTAACTAACTCTGGGGGTGGAAATCATTCATTATCATGCTTTCCAATGAAATGTGGGATGGCTGTTAAATGTGCTCCAATTACACTTCTTTCACTTAATTATACTTTTACAGCTTAAACTATTATTAAATTTCACAATTAGTTTTTATCTGTATTGATACTGGTTGAAATATAATCATAGATTTTTTTATTTATTAAATCTTATAAATAACTAAAATAAAATTTTATTGTATATTCAAACACTATTTTTTTATTGTATATTCAAACATATATTTTTTTAATTTGTAATTCATTTTTAATTTATATGAAGAGATTTTTTTAAGTATAACCAAAGTCAAAAGTTAATAATATGAGTTAATCCCTCCATGACCGCGGACACACCAGCGTGTCAGTTAACAATAGATTTCTTAGAATTTTAATTAATTTCTTAGAAATTTACCTGGAGGTAATAGATATTTTTATAGCAGGAAAATTATTGTAGTCTTCATACAAGAAAACAAGGAATATCTTTAAGTGTATTCATTACTCATCTGGTGCTCGAATGAAAGAGTGAAAACATTTTTTTCATAATAATAATAAGCATTAAACTTAGTGCTATTATAAAGCTAACGTAGTAAAACCCCAAAAAATAAACAGTAGCCAAATCTAAATCAAGGCTTCAGCCATTCAATAAACATTTTATATTGTCAATAAGTATGTACTCGTAATGTCTAAGAATGACTTACACTTGACATTTTTATTTCTTGTACTAAGCATATCCTATTAATCTTACTAAGTATTTTTTTTATCACATAGTGATCTAATATCTTAGTGACCTTTGGACATTATAAATTATAGTTCATGTATATAATGCATCACATTGCATTCATAAACAAAAAATTACATTATTAATTTAATTTTTTTTTAAACTAGTAAAACCATAAGTTCTTATTTTATTTACCCCAGTCAACAAGTAAACATAGCACATCTACTAACATATTTATTGTCATATACTTATTACTTACATCTCATAGCTGCCAATTGATGATGTATCAAGATGTTAAGAAGCCTATGTCCATTGGATAATCTAGTTCTATTATTGAAAAAAATATTAAAACTGGATCCATGGTTTCATCATTCTAAATGTTACTGGATAAATGAAAAAAAATATATAAACTATTATCAACTTTGGTGGTATTCGCCGAAAATTTACGTGTTTGACTTCTAATAAAGCTTACAATTATTTTATTTGGCATGCATAAGATTTAAGTTTGCGAGATTGCACCTACTATATCGTCTATGTAAAAATAGGTATAGGCATTTCATTGCCATTATATTAACAAATATTTTTTTTTATTTTGAAAGACTGCACAACAAAATGTTTTAGCTTATTTTGAATGACTAAGAAAAAAAGTTAGGTGAAAAATATTTATTTCAATATAAAATATTATTTCAAATATTAAAAATAATTTCAAATCAAAACATAATTAAAAAAGTAGTGATATAACAGCTATATTATATTTCTTTTTTTCTCTTGAATTAGATAAGACTAATGCACTAAAAATTAAAATACTAATGATTTCCAAGTGTATCGAATTCATAAAGACTGTTATGAATTTAAAATATTTTTTTACGAGTATTAACCGCAACGATGGTCGCAATGCAGATAGAATGGACGAGAGATTCTAAACCAAACTATCCTCTACAGTTGAAAATTCCTGTCCAAAAAATTAAATATCACTAAAAGTTAAATATATTCACTAATGTCGATTAAATGTTAATATCATGTAAAAAAACACAATGCAATATCGCGCATTCTTGTTTTCTTCCTTCGTCTCAATGTTGACGAATAAAAACTTAACAAAATAAAATAAAGACTGACTTCAAAAAAAAGCACTAAAGAGTAAAAAAATTAACTGATTGATAGTTTTCATTCACCTACTAATTTAAATGGGACCAATCTGGACGTATACACTTTTCAAACAAAACAAAAATTGTGCAAATCGGTTAATAAATAACGGAATTCTGACGTAACAAACATTAAAAAAAATACAGCCGAATTGAGAACCACCTCCTTTTTGAAGAAGCCGATTGAAAACAATGCTGGCACTTTAATATTTATTCATTCATATTATAATATATCCCGTTGTCATAGCGAACACTCATAATAACAAAGGGTCGTTAAAGGGTAGATATTAAAACACTTTCTAATAATTAATATACATTAGTTCTTTAAATATCATGGGAAATGTAATAAAAATATTTTATTTTTAACGTATACAAGGAATCACTTTTATGAGACTAATTTAATTTTTACAAGTCTAATTTCTAAACCATATTAACAAAACGTGAATGCATTACATATAGGGAGTAGTCTGATGTCATATAGTAAGTCTGATGATTAAATAAAGATAGGTTAGAATTGTCCATTTTTATAGTCGTCTGTATCCTATGTTTGGTTGTATGTGGCAATCATTCAATCAAGCAAATATGGAAGTCGCGTGAGAATTTAAATAATATCCAACGCAGGATGCGTTGCTGCAAGCAACAAAGCCATTGATTTAAAGTACTTATTTAGTATGAACCCAAAAATTCCTTACAAGTATATAATACTATTATATACTTGTAATAAATAAATAATTAATTGATGACCACGACCAGTCTGCAAGACTAACGATTAAGAAGAAGATATAATGCATAGCTTAAAAATGAACTATATAAATTAAACGTTTCTCAAAAACATGTAATTTACAAATGAATTAATAAAACATGATGTTTTTTCATAGGTGTTTGTATTTTTATTATTTACTAGCGGACCCGACAGACGTTGTCCTGTCTACACGTCTTTAATTTGAAAATTTCAAACTTTTTTTAATATTTTTTTTGATGAAAATTATTATTCAAATTGTGAATCTAAACCATTCCCAGATCCCCTTGAACACACACAAAAAATTTCATCAAAATTGGTCCAGTCGTTTAGGAGGAGTTCAGTCACATACACACGCACACAAGAAATATATATATTAAGATATATTAAGATTACGACATATGACACTGTAATTACAATGAGCAGCCGCTTAGTAATAGGACTCCGAGTGCTTCTTTATAGAAAACCTATAACATATAATTGTCCTAACGAAAATATTACGTATCATTTACTTTAATGGTATGATTGATAATATGTATTCCATATATGTATATTTTGTCACGCTTTTGATATCTCGAAAACATCGTGTTGCTTAGACTAGTAAGTAAATACTTACATACAATCTAATCTATTTTGTACGAGTAATATCATATGAGATAGAACAAAGTGTATTTATTTATTTATTATGTGTATATTTATGTATATTATTATTATTTACATACCTTAAATTACTTATAAATTCTAAAGCTGGAGGCTATAAAACATACACATAAATTACTTGAATTATTCATATACATATCATACCTATAATAACACCTCCAGATAAATTTCTAAGAAATTAATTAAATTTCTAAGAAATCTATTGTTAACTGCAACGCCGGCGTGTCCGCGGTCGTGGAGGGATTAAATAAAACAGACAGACGGACAACGAAGTGTTTGTATAATGGCTAGGAAGTAGGAACCCTTTACAATAATTATTTTTTCCTGAAAATATCAAATTACAAATAAAATAATAATAAATAAATGCATACAAGAGTCACAGTTAACATCAAATTTATTCATTTTCCTTATAAACCTATAGCGGTTATTATCATTTTCCATTAATTATTTTCGCCTGACTAAGAGGTATAGAATCCTGCTCTATGAATAAGAACAAGCAACGACAAGTATTAAAGCTCTTGGTAAACAAAACACTTGATTTCATTCAATTCTTAAAACATATTATACATAAAATTATATATGCTACTAGCATTGCCCGCGGCTCCGCCCGCGTTCAGATGATCAAAAACCAAATTCTTAGGTTTTACATATTAGTATACTCTTACAATACAGTTTTTGTTTTTTTTCTCAGACATGAGATATTTTCCCGCGGTAAAAACTATCCTATATGTTGACCCGGATAACCAGCTATCATCATACCAAATTTCATCAAAATCTGTCCACTGGTTTTCTCGTGATGCGGTAACAGACAGACAGACAAAAATTCTAAAAACTATAGATTCAGACTCTGTATCGATAATAATGTCTATTTCAATTAGATTTTCCAAAAAATATTTAATGTACAGATTCGACTTAGTTACAATTTTATTATATGTGTAGAAAAGAAAAATTAAACTATTTGTAGAAAGAAAATCCATTTATATTACTCTGTACATGTCTAAGTTAACACCAACTTACATCACACAAACAATTCATCATATTATTACGGCATTTTTACAGTTGCATTACAAAGATATTCAATATTTTTTAATATTGTATTGATATGATCATCTTATAATTTACTACTTATTAATATAACAAGCATTTCCTAAGCAAGCGCTACATTGGGTCTGTTTTAAGTAGTAAATAATCTCGTAGAGTTCAGTAAACCAAAATTGTACTTACGCATTTCTAAATCTTACGTTATATAATAAACG